AGAGAGAGAGAGAGAGAGAGAGAGAGAGAGAGAGAGAGAGAGAGAGAGAGAGAGAGAGAGAGAGAGAGAGAGAGAGAGAGAGAGAGAGTTTCCCATTTGCATCGATCAGCTTTCATTCAGTGATAAAAATCCATCCCGGTTACAACTTTTTATTTGTTCGTCTTTTAAATGGATGGTGACAAGAATGACCTCTCTCTCTCTCTCCTTCTTTTTTCTGTGTCTTCCCAACAGCTTGACCATTGTGCCACCTTCGGCCACCGACTGCATAGACATCAGCATCCCTTTTGCATTCCCTTCATTCTCCTCAAATTTTCATGAGCCTCACCTTCATCGTCCTCATCAGCGTTGTCCTCCTCATCGTCACCATCATCACCACCATCATTCATCACAATCACCCATCACTATTATCTACTAATCCTTTCCTCATCCTTCTTTTCCTTCTCCTTCACCACCGTTGACCCTTGACCGCCTTTGCCATTAGTACCTACTCCTCACCATCACCATCAGTGCATCCCTTTCCTTCATGGCTATGGATAGAAAGGCAAGTGTATGTAATGATTCTTTATTACAGAAAAGCCTGAGAGAGAGAGAGAGAGAGAGAGAGAGAGAGAGAGAGAGAGAGAGAGAGAGAGAGTTTCCCATTTGCATCGATCAGCTTTCGTTCAGTGATAAAACTCCATCCCGGTTACAACTTTTTATTTGTTTTGTCTTTTAAATGGGCGGTGACAAGAATGACCCCTCTCTCTCTCTCTGCCTCTCTCTGTGTCTCCCTTCGATGGTTTTGGCCAGCGACAATAAGTGAACGTAAACCCATGCCCAACAGAAATTGCTTGCCCCCTCGTGTGCATGCGCCATTTCTGCGCTAGCCAAACAAAAATCAGACTGCTATGTACTTGTATTTGAACAAGACGCAGAAGACGACAAACTGCACAACGTTGCCACAGACGAACCTGCTCGGGCAAAAAGGTAGAACGACGCTCTGGGCTTCAACCTGGTCGGATGGAAGGATGGGGGAGGGTCGGAAAGAATGAGGCACCTGGACAGGCCCAGGCGCAAAGCAGCACTGCGGGTTCGAGCCCCTTACCTCTGCGTCGTGGAGTAGAAGGGAAAAAGGCTGGCCTAAAACTAGACGACAACGCCGTGGATCTGTGGGGACACCGGGACGTTGGGGAAAATATTTTTACTGTGCCAGTTGGGAACCGTCGTCCGGGGCCCCATTTTAAGTATTATGTAGATGTAGGTTCCATGACAACCATCTAGAGCCCCGCACCAGGGTCCAGACGGTGCCTGGTCTAGGGTCTGCAATCTGAATGATTGGAGCTGTCCGGATTGAATTTAGAACAATTTATCGATTTCTTTTCATATTTGGCTCTCTCAAAAATATCATCATTGAAAGGAAAAGCTGTGCAGCATTATATACCAACTGGCCTAGTGCAGTTGGTGCACTTATGAACTGATGCAATTCAGACCTGAGTTCGAATCCGGATGGAACTAGATGAATGTCGAATTCCTGAATTACCTGGGGCTGGTCAGTTCCATCATCCATGATGATATCTCAAGGCCGTCACCCTTTTGAAAAAGAAAGGAAAAAAAGGCTGCGCACCATTGCAATACAAGCAACATTTGTCTGAGGGTCATATCGAAATTCACATCTACGCAACGAACCAAGTTCAAAATCTGAGAAAAACTAGTTTAGGGGTCATTGGTCGCATCAAAGCCCGAGGGCAAAAAGTCTCTTCCACAGCCTCTTAAGAGGGGTCCCAGAAAGTCCTTAGGTTGACACGAAGGATCGCCTTTTGCACCCCTTTGATAAGTCGGTGGACGTGGGGTCAAGGTCAAAACAAACACCCAGGGCCTCAAGTATCAAAAGCAGGCCTTAGGAAAGTCAACAGTCAGGCCCAACTCAGGCACAGAAGTCAAAAGTGTCGAAGATTTATCGGGTCTCAACCACGGCCACAGATCTCACATACATCCAAATGCTGAGTGTAGTTTCCATAAGTTCTCAAGGCCCACTGGGTCTAGGCACACACTGCTGACTACAAGTCTGGGTGGCACAGATGGAGAATTCAGCCAGTCGAGGAGGCAAAAGGTAGGCAGGCCAGGCCAAGTGTTACATGCTGCGCCTGCAACAGGCTGTACGGGCCATTTCCAGGCCCGTGACGTTTTCAGGCCAAAAGCCTGAAAACAAGGGCCTACAGGCCCTGTGTCGTTTCAGCCTGAAAGCCTGAAAACGAGGGCCTACAGGCCCTGTGTCGTTTCAGGCTAAATCAGGGCCTTTACGGCCCTGAGTGTTTTCAGCCTGAAACTGAGGGCCATTTCCGGGCCCTCATGAGTTCGGCCTGCCCCGAAACTCAGGCACCAGACCAGGGTTTTAGCTCAGGCCATTTCTGGCCTATTTTCAAGACAACCTTTATTTGAGCTTCAACCCCAGGGTCTGGCACGTTGAGGCATTGGCAAGAGCAGCCTCCTGGACGGGCCAGCACTATATAGGACTGGCCCGCCCTGCAGGAGGTAGGTAGTTCATGGGGACTTCCCAGGCACTTCACGTGCAGTTCAGGAGGCAGGAGGCAGTCAGTAGTCTTCAGGATTCGGCAGCAGCACTCTGGAGGAGTGCTGCGGGAGTAGTAGTAGCGCTGGCATTAGTCTTCAGCGCTGGGCGCTAGTAGCGTAGATGTAGTCTTCAGCCTGGGCGCCATAGCTAGGATAGCACTAGAGAGAGAGAGATTGGGCGGAGGCCAGGGATACTTACCTGCAGTGCCGTCGCTCCAGCTTCGTCTTTGAGGTACCTGCAGCACAAAGCCGTCTTCACAGGTTAGTATCTGGCATACAAGAGAGAGAGAGAGAGAGAGTTCTTCTTCTTCCTCTTCTCAGTCCACCACCTCCCTCTCACCCTCTCGTTATCTGACTTCACTGCATCAGCAGACTATGAGAGAGAGAGAGAGAGAGCTTGGTGACATTTCGGATCCAGACTCGAAATTGGACTTCAGACATTTTGACGAGGGATTATGTGGGACTTATAACGAGACTTGGTGTTGACGACTTTTCCATCTCTCCCCTCCTCTTCGTCTGATCCCCTCCTCTTCGTCTGTGCATGTCTGGACCTGGCGCCCTCTTCCTGTGTATAGCGCCAGGCCCTTCACACCGTTTGG